GCATCAATGCAGGGTTCCCAGGACCAAACCAAAGAGGGTCGGACCAGCATTGCTACCATGTTCCCACCATCCAGATATCATTTCTGACATGTACACATAAGGAACTGTTTGACATTGAACCGGGGACTCAGAACTGTTGGACATTGAAATTGGGACTCAAAGATTTTTTGTTATTATGTTTATTTCTAGTCTGCTGAGGCAAGATTTTTTTTTAAGGAAAGATATGAGGGGAAAATAGATACAGAGTCAAAGAAGCATTGACCAGACTGCCATACTACAGCAGGAAGGCAGGGGAGGTTGTGGGGGGAGGGGGCGGCTGTAAGAGATCAACCGAAGGACTTGTACACATGCATTTAAGCATAACCAATGAATACAAGACACTGGGGGGGCAGGGGTGAGGGCATATGCTGGTGGGTAAGAAAGGCTGGGGGGAGGTCAATGGGGGAATAAAGGAGACATATGTACTACTATTTGTAATCTTCAAACAATAAAAAAAAAAATAAAGGAAAAAAGTGTATACATTTTTTAGAAACTAAATATATGTATATATATTCCTGTTTGTGTAACAGAAAAATACTCATAAAAATAAATGCAAGTATGGGCTAACCAATGGACATAGACAAAGGGGGGTGAGGGCATGAGTAGGTGGGATAGAGGGATAATAGGAGAATAAGGACACATATATAACACCTTAATCAATAAAGAAATTTTAAAAATAAATAAATAAAAATATAGATGAATCTGCTCTTTTAAAAGCATATGTTTTTGAGAGACAGACTCATAGATGGAGAGTAGGATGACAGCTGTCATGGGCGCAGGGAGCTAGGGGAATTGAGTAAAAAAAAAAATAAGAAAAAAAATAATGAACAAAGGCAACAGTGAGGTGACAAGGTGTGCTGAGGGAGGTGGAGAATGGGGGATATATGATGATGAAAGGAGATCTGACTTGGGGTGGTGAACACCCAATAGTGTACAGAATTGTGCACCTGAAACCTATGTAATTTTGTTAACCAGTATTACCTCAATGAATTCAATTAATAAAATTTAAGAAAAAAAATTAGTTACTGTACTAATCCCAGAAATAAATAAATAAATAAATAAATAAATAAATAAATAAATAATCAAAGCATATGTTGGTTCAAAATTTCCCAGGAATAATCTGAAAGCAACTCTCATATAGAGGACAGGAAGAGACCTAAGAAAGAGTCGGACTACTGGAGATGGTTAGGTTGCTGTTTAATAGGCCAGAGAACTTACTTACAAAGCTTGCATTGAGTGGCCCAAAGACAAATATTCTCAGCAGCTGCCTGCCAGATCTGAAAAGTTGATATAGAGCCCTTAGCTGGGCCTAGTCATGTACAACATCCAACTGGTCTCAGCAACACATGCCTAGCTTCAGGCTGTGTCCTTGAGGCAACTGCTGGGAAGGGAAAAGGCAAGCTGAATGCACATTCCACAGACAGTTGGGGTGAGCCTCCAATTGCCTTGGTCCATACTTTGGGTCAACTGGAGGTCACATCTTCTCCATGACCTTGTACAGCGTAGCAGAACATATTGGGTTCAAAGGAACACAGTCTTGGTGGGGGTAAAGTTATATTTGAAACCAGTAAAGGAGACAGGGGAGTAATTTCCAAAGCTCTGCCTCTCCTAGGGAGGCTTATATATTCAGTTTGGTATATTAGATGTTGATTTCTTCTTTATAACTGGATAAACTTATCAGTCATGGGTCAGATCAAGTTCATCCCTGTTAGAGTTTCTCTGCAGAATACTGTGCTGCATTTTAGCATTTAGTAAGAACAGCCCAGACTTGAGAGCATTGCCCCATTTCTCTCCAACACTCCATTCGTGGTGACCAGCTCCTACAATTTAATATGCCCCCATCCCTTCTGCTGTGTGCTCCAAGAGGTCAGCAAGGGGCTTCACTAGCATGCATGTGGCTCATTTGATGGCTGCCCTCTCAGATGCCACAGCAACAATACAATCACCTGTGAGAGAAAATGCAAGCTAGGACACCAGTTTCTAAAATCAGGGGCATCTTTTTCACCCAGAAACTTATGACCCCATCCATGGACTAAGAAAGTGCCCTAAACTGGGGGCAGATCACGCAGGGCATTGACTGGTATTCCCATGAGATTTAGCAAAGATGGTACATTGGCAGACTAATCAGGTATGAACACAAAACATTCTGCTTGAGTAATGGCAGAGTGATCAAGAGATATTCTGGTGTCAGAAACACTAAAGGAAATTTTTACAAGAAACAATAATAAAGATCAGGGCATTTCTGAAAGACAAAAGAGAGTGATTATCATTAAGACTTCTCAGTTAGGATTCTAGCAGCAGAGATGTCCCAATCTAATTAGGTAATTGGGGGAGAGTCAAGTGCACGGTTTCCTACAAGCCACAGACTCAGGGATTCAAGTGACAAGGTAGAATGCTGGCCACAATGAGGAAATTACACGCTAATCCTAAAGGGGTGAGGCCTGGAACCCACACCATAGAGAAGGTGTGATCTTCAACTAGTATTGCAGCTGGTCAGAGAATAACTTGTAGGGAGAGAGGCAAGAGAACAAACACCCAGACCTTGCTTTTCTATCCAAAATAGATCTCTTGCTTAGACTTCCCATTGGCAGAAGTCAAGCGTCAGTAAGAGAGCCAGAGATCCCACTGATGTTGTTAGATAGGATAAGGGACTCAATGTATGGGCCATTCTTACTAAATGCTACTCTTGTTACACATTAAATTTATGAGACCAGCTGGAAACAGGTTGAGCTTGACAAGGACTCAACAGGACAAATGTAGCCAACAGAAAATGAAAAGAAATGAGAGAGAGAGAGAGAGAGAGAGAGAGAGAGAGAGAGAGAGAGAGAGAGAGAGAGGAAAGAAAGGCAGGAAGGAAGGAAGGAAGGAAGGAAGGAAGGAAGGAAGGAAGGAAGGAAGGAAGGAAGGAAGGAAGGAAGGAAGGAAGGAAGAAAGGAAGAAAGGAAGAAAGGAAGAAAGGAAGAAAAAGAAAGAATGATATATTTGACCAAATCGTGTAAAGAATGGCTAAGCCTTTCCCTCTGGGTAGACAGATATTTTGATAGGAATCACCTGTCTCCTTAACTTGCTAAAAGTAAACAAAACTACCCTGTGACAACCATGATTCCTTCTGGAATAGGACACTCCAAGTGGGGAAGCCCTTGAGTTTGGTAACAATATCATCCACATAGATCAGCCTCCTGGAACAAAGAGCCAGGTTGAAGGAGGGCAAAGCCTGGATCTACAGATGCAAATGAAAAATTTTAGTACATTAGATATTTTTTATGTTATAGTCAGGGACATTTTAGGACAGTATCTAAAAAAGAAGAGAGAACATCAAGAAGAAAATTTAGGAATTTACAAACATCCACATGTCACCAGAAATGTACTGGCCCATAGTGTGTGAGTTCTTGACTTGGTGCAGGAAAGAGGATGCTCATTAAAGCTGCGGACAGTGAAATAAAAGAAGGGTTTAGGATAGAAGAAACAACAGCAGAGAGCCTTGGTGGGGCTGCGTTGGCTCTAGAAATATTATAGGAAAGAAGTGAGCGAAGTTGGGTCTGCTTCAGCTCAGTGGGAAGTCAGGGAAAAGGGGACCTTGGAGACAGGAGCAGGGGCTGAAACTGGGTGCCTGCCCACTGCTCCCCTGGTTGCAAGTCCACAGAGTTTAGGGAGAAATAAAAAGTTCATGCTTGGTACAAGGCATGGGCTTGTGCAAGAGTGAGTTTTTGTCTTGAGGACATTTTATCCATTTTTTTTCCTTTGTAATCAGCTTTCCAGTGCATTTTTAATATGCTGATGCATCAAGAGAAGTGTGTATAGGGGAGTTTTGGATTATTCTTTCATCTGTTGCGCTGTTTTATTTTAATTGTGCCTGGCTTTGACGTTGTTTTTGATATTTTTCCCTGACTTCATCTGCCCTTGGGTTTAGCTGGCACAAATGGAATGAATTGGGTCTTTGTGCTCTACTTCCCAGACCAGTCTGATTTAAGCTATGCATTCTCTGGTTAGGGAGGAGACATATAAACCATTTGCTGCCAAGTGCCCCTGGTTGGGGAAGATGAGATTTTGTGATTAACAAACTGGCTATAAGCTGCCCATCTTCTCATCTCAGTTTTCTTATTCCATTCATCCAGGAATTTTCCTAGCTTCTTACTCTCCTGCCTCACATGGACCACAGAATCATCTTGCTGGGGAAACCAACTGCTTCACTAACAAGGTGCATGCAGACATGGACTGAAAAAATGTGCATGCTTGAAACCTGAAGTATTTCTGATTTGAATTTTCCTAAATTGAGTCTGTGAACTCTTCATAAAATGTTATTGCCTGATTATGCCAATTCTGTAACTTCTTACATTTGTTAGCATTGTGGGTATTGGTGGTGAGTGAGCAGGTAAGATGCTAGTGGTTACTATCACAGAATAGCAAACCATCCCAAAGCCTAATAGTTTAAATCAACAAACTTTATTTTTCTCAGGAATCTGTAATTTGGGTAGGATGAAGTAGGGGTGGCCGATATTTGCTCTTTGTAGCTTCATCAGAGGTGGCTCAGTTGGTAACTGGAGAAAATCTGCTTTCATGTTGCCTCACTTGCATGGCTGGCAACTTGATTCTACTGGCAGATAAAAAACCAGCCAGGGGAGTGGGCCAGTGACTTCAAATCCCCTTCACATGTTTTCTCAATGGGCAACTGTGGCTCCCCCACCACATGGTTGCAAAGTGTCAAGCCCACAAACACTAGGGAACAAAGAGGCATTTTTCCTATCTCACTTTTGAAGTCACAACCACACACTGGCTGTCAAAGCAGTCACAAAGGCCACTGAATTTCAAGTTAGGTGATAAATCCTATAATTCAACAGAAGGAAAAATAAACTCAGATTACAATAAGAATGGGTGGGATAGAATACATTATTATAGTCATCTTTGGAAAATACAATTAACCACATTAACAACTCATACTAAATTAAGAAATAAAATTTACATTATTTTTGAAACCTTTCCCATATTTTTGAAAGTTTATTCAAAATCCACTTAACAACAACTTCAAATATATTTCTTCCAGCTTCCTCCTCAGTATTTTTAGTTTTTTCTTTATAGTGATTGCATGCCTTTACTATTCTCCCTTCCTTTTCTTCCACTGATATTTCCCCCTTAGCATATTGCTTTTCCAATTGTTTAATTTCATTCTGATATTGATCATCATAGGATTTCTGCAAGGCCTCTATCTCTTGTTGCCACTTTTGCTCTGTATTCTGGTAGATGGGATCAGAAAAGTGAGGCTCTCCATTATCCTTTACCATTTTCTCTATCAGCTCCACCAGCTCCTGCAGTTGAGCTTCCTTCTCAGCCTCATTTGTGCTTTTGTTATTAAAGGCACAGTAGCGGTCCCCACACTCCTTGATGAGGCTTTGCAGGTTTACCTCTGATTTTTCTATAAACTCAGGCAGTGTGGTATCACCCAAACCATCTTTGCGAGTGAACAAGATGATCATGTGCTTCATGGCTGGCTCCCCAAAGAGCAGCTTGATCAATGCAACTGTGTTCTGCTCCTCTGCAGTGTAGCGGCCCAGTTGTAGAACCAGGATGATAGCATGAGGCCCAGGGCAGGATAAGAGGACACACTGGCTGATTTCCTCACAGGTGGTTATTAGTGACTTCTTGGTGTCAAAGAGCCCTGGGGTGTCCACAACAATAAGCTTCCTCCCTTTCCATTGTTGCTCTTCTTTCTCACATTTCTCGGTAACAGCATGAGCAGCAATTTTAGATTTAAATGCTTTTCTGCCAAGGATGCTGTTTCCTGTTGCACTTTTTCCACTTCCGGTTTTCCCCACCAGAACAATCCTCAGAATGTTGTCCTGAAGGCCAGCCATCTTCTTTCAAGAGGCTCTGGGGTGCAGGTACCAACAAGACCTCAAGGAAGGGAAGGAGAAATGAAAAGGATACTTAGGTAATGGGGACCATTCTCAAACCTATTTTCTTTGTTCTTGAACTCCATGAAAATTTGTAATCATCTATTACTCATCTGGAGGAAATAATAAAGCAGAGTTTTCCCACAAAAGAGTGCTATGTCCAGGTGCTTTCACAGGGGAATTCACTTAAACCTCTACAACGCTGATCATCTCAATATTAAATGAGATATTCCTGATCATATAAAAAAGAGAGAAATCTTTCAATTTTTTTATAAATCAATGTGATGTTGGTTCTAAAGGCTAACAGAGATTTGATCAATAAATAAAGCTATAGACCCATTTCATTTGGAAATATTTATACCAAAATTTATTGTTACAACACATCTTATTAATAGATGAAGTAGAAAATTACCTAATGCAGTCAAGACATTTGACTGAATTAAAAACTGATCCATATTTAAAGCATTTTATACATTGGAATTATAGATAATTATCTAACATGATCTTATATAAGTATAAACTTAAATTTTTTATCATAACTTTTCCCCCTAGTTGTGAAAGAGTGGATTATAAAGTTAAAAATAAAAGTTTTCGGATGAAGAAAAAGTAGATATTTCTCTAACATTATTTTATAGTAGAGGCCTGACACACAAAATTAGTGCACTGAGTGGGGGGTCTCTCAGCCCAGCCTGCACCCTCTTGCAGTCTGTGAGCCCTTGGGGGATGTCCGCCCACGGCTCACTGCTCCTTATCACTTGGTGTGTTGTTCCTTAGCACTGCCCTGGAGGCAGGAGAGGCTCTCGCCACAGCTGCTGCTGCTGCTGCTGCTGCTGCGCTCACCAGCCAAGAGTCCAGCTTCTGGCTGAGAGGCGCTCCCCTTGTGGGAGCACAGTAACCACCAATTGGCAGCTCCTACATTGAGTATCTGCCTTCTGGTGGTCAGTGCACGTCATATCAACCAGTCATTCCACTTGATAGTTCCACCGTTTAGTCAATTTACATATTAGGCTTTGATTATATACTATTTAACACCTCATGTTTGGCAAAAATTCAATGCTTGCTAGCACAATCTGTTGGCAAAGGTATGAGGGAAACAGGTCCTTTCCTGCATGGCTGGTGGTAATGGAAAACCAGTCCAAACCCTACAGAAGGGAAGTCAGCACTATGCTCCCAATGTACATATACATTTTCTCATTCATTGTCAATTTTCCATTTTAATATTTTTTTCTTAACTACACTGAGAAAAATACAGGAAAATGACACATCAGGCTATTTATTGCATTATTATTTGTATTAGCAAAAGACCAAAAACCTATCAAATGGCTATCAGTAGGGACTGGTTGTATTACCTAAGATATAGTCACACAGTGAAGGACTATCCAACTGTGAAAAGGAATGTGTCTCTCTATACTAGCATGGAAAGAGGTCTCCAGGATACATCATTAAGAGGGGAGGGGGGGGCGGGGGGGGAGGGGGACAGTGAAGAAAAAAGTGAGAAAATAATGTAGAGTTTACCTACCATTTCTCCAATAAGAAAGAATGTGCACTACGTATATAAAATATAATACATATCTTTGTCATATATATGAAAAGGCAATAGCAGGATACTCTAAAAACTAAACCAACAAAAATTTACTTACATGGGAACGGGAGAAGCAGCGTGGAGGGAACAAGGACAGAAACTGGAAACTGGTTACACTAAGATTTCATAGATTTGATCTTGTACATAATTATACAAAAATATATATATATTAAAATTCTAAAATCAAAATGAAATGTCAAACTCTAATTGTATATTGTTGGGTGGATGAATTGGTCTAAGACACTTAAAAAAGAAGTGTCCATCTTTAGTGTTATTAACTTAAGTTTAAAAAATAAAATCGTTTTCAAAAATCTTATTTTTGTGTGTGTGTGTGTGTGTTTGGTCTGTGTGTGCAGTTCTGAAGTCCTTTGAAAAGGAATAGAGATAATAATGAGCCCAGTGACAATGACCATCTTTCGTGCTTGGAGAGTGGTTTTCGAATGCTATTTCCCACCAAAATTAGGGTTTTATTAATAAACTATTGATTCTAGGAATAGGCAGAAAATGCTTCAGTTGAGCCTTCACTCTCTTGTCAACAAGAAAGCAAAGATGCTCTAAAAAAATCACTGGGATCTTATGGAAAAGACTTACGATCCAACCTCAAGAGAATGTACCTGGACATTGATGGGGCAATGTGAGCATTGATAATAACTCAAATGAGTCAAAATATATCAGGTATTTTAAAATACATGCATTCATATCACGGCCTTCTACTTAAAACAGGCAATTGCTCCCTTGGAAGTGTGCTAAGAAAGCATCTTCTTGTTAAGAACATTGACAGAAAAAAAGAATTGAGCATTTATTTTATCTTTCAGATGCAACTGTACTTTGTGGAAATGAGAGAATGGTTGGAGGGAACTTTTGTTTTTTATAAGATTTTTCCATCTAATAAAGTAAGAATGATAGAATTTTATATCATCACTGTTAGTTTTGATTGAGTAATAATAATAAATCAATACTCCTCCCCTGGGAACTGGCTTTTCAGGCTGTTTCATTATAGACATTCCCTTTGCTGAGACCATATTATACTTGTGGTGACCACATTTCATTCTTTCCCCCTCGCGGGGGGCTGGAACCATCCATGCTCAGCCACCTGGTTTGGGGATGATTGAATAAATTCATAATCCCTCACCACTGTAGCCTCTTGTGTTCCTCCTTTGGCAACCTAACCATCACTTCTGACCCTCAATGGAATGTAGGCCATCGTTAATGTCCATTAATGTCAAAGAAAGTGACATTATGTGCCTTCTGAGGAAAGTTTACAGCTGAATCTATGATGTATTTCTACCAAATAGTCAAACCTGAGTCAGATCAAGTCTCTCCTTAAATATTAATAATTTCACCCAAAACACTGGAACTAGAAGAGTGGGTGAAATGACACCATGAGAATGTTAATCAACAAAAAGTAAACTGCCGGTTCTTTGGGGAAAGAGACTTCCTCCTTCTTACGCAAAGAAATTTTCCAGAAAGAAACAGGGAAGACGAGAAAGCTATATATTAAATTAAATATAGGAGAAACCAAACAATTGCAATTTATGAATCTTAATAGGATCCAACTTCAAACAGTCTTTTAAGTTATGAGACAATCAGGGAAATCTGAAGACAACTGTTAACTTTGTAAAAAAAAAAATCTATTTGCTTTTTGAAGTCTGATTATGATCATATTTTTAAATGACTTCAAATATTTACTGATAAAATGAAACAATGATATTTGCTTCAAGATAATGTGGTGTGGCTTGGAAGTGGTGAGTATATAGAATCTATACACTATGTTATAGATGAAACAAGATTGGCGTAACTTAATAATTGTGGAAGCTTGCTCTAGGTACATGAAAGTTCCTTTTATCTTAGAGTAAATTAACATTTTTCAACAAAAAAATTTATATGTATGCAATATAACCACTACTGACATTCTAAAACAAGCACTGATAAGTTTTAATACATTATTTCACCTATTCCCCTATAATAGCCTGCAAAAAGCTAATTTTATTATTTTAACTTTTTAAATAAAGACATGATGTGACTTGAAAATGCTGAAACATTTGCCCAAGGTCACAGTGCTAACAGATATTGGGCAGAACATGCATCAAATTCAAAGTCTGTCTGACCAGCTCCTTCAGTGTCTTCTCAGAATTCTAAAATTACATCGAATCAGAGCTAGATCAAGAGAGGGCAGGGAGGAGAGTCTACACTCTTTCCAGGACAGAACATTTTTAGGAAACCTGTAACAAGGCCATTAAGTGGAGGGTTTCATATACATTTTTCTTGCAGAATAGCCAACCCTTTGTCAATGACACGCCCTCCTCATCGCACATGTCACACTGCTCGGGCTAGAGTTTCTCTCTGCTGAATGATGAAAAGGATTCAGCAACTGCAGTCCAGATTTCCTCTGCCCTTAGTGGCATGGGCAACCCCTAGAGTCACCACACTCTCCAGGATCCTGCTTCTTTTTCGGTAAAAAGAGGAAGTTAGACTTGTCAGTCTTTATATTGCCTTCAAGCTCTAAAGACCTGCCTTGGGGACACTCATTTCCTATCCAGGGAAAAGGAAGGCTTGTCAGGCAGCCCTCAGTGTATTTCAGAGCAGCAAATGCATTGAAGGTGCACCAGTCAGCACAAATGTGTCCTGTTCAATATGAGACCTGTAACATCTATAATACTAAAAGGGTTATATACTAATTAGACCAGACTTCCTTCCTAACCAAGCCGGGGCCCAAGAGAAGAGGCCTTCTGGCAGCCAGAGGAGGGAAGCCAGAGTCCCAGGTGCTGGAGGGAAGCTGGTGCTGGCAGCCCGGGGAAGGAAGGCCTCTTGCAGGTATTTTCATGCACAGGGCTTCTAGTTGTACTAATAAAGCTCCTGACCCCCTCCCTACCTTCCTTCACTACCCTCTGACAGCACCCCCCTGCTGTACTTGTGGCACAGAACCTGATCCTTTCTGCGACCAGAACTCACACTATGTACACTCCATGGCCTACTGCCCAAATAACTCTAGTACTGAGAAGCAGTGAATCTTTTATCTTAGAGTAAATTAGTAGTAGTCTGCTTCTCAGCCAGACTCACCTTTTCAACCAGTGGATTAATTCTCCAGTTTTCTCCAAAGACACTCTGCAAGCTGGTGCTTTGGTTTTAACTGTGAAGAAAAATTGTTCACACCCACTGAAATCACGAAGGCAGAAAGCATGGGTGGAGCCAGTGGAGGAACTATTTGCTTTTAAAGAGACAGTAATATTTCTCCTAATTTTGTGGGTGCTTCCATCTTGCCAAGTTGAAACCTTTTCCTTCATGTGCTTGCTCTTGTACCAAAATTATCAAAGCTATATTTTGTGTTTTGGGTTATAGTAGTGTATCCAAAGACCTTTATTAAATAACATAAATATTT